GGTCGACCATTTTTGAAAGCTCGTCAGCATGTGAGTTGAGCTCTCGCGGGATCCATTCAATGATCAAGCGCGTGCCGAGCCCCATGCATGTTCGGATGATGCTTTTGCAAGCCATTGTGAGGTCAGAGCTGTGAGAGCCGCCTTTGCGAAGGATGAAGAATACGCCTTGGTTGTCCACCCGCACGAGAACGTGTTTTTGCTTGATCTTGTTGGCGTACGTTTGGAGCGCCCAAAGGACGCCTTCGATCTCCCGCCGCGTGCTAGACGTTGCCTGTAGTGGCTCTGACATGGTTGCGCTCGCTTCTTCGAGGCCACCCGGAAATGTAGTTAGAGTGGCGCCCCAACCATGAGAGCTGGCATCCACATGAATTACCGCATCGTAGCTGTTCCGGACGTGGAAAGGTGCACCGTTGAACTGGTCGAACTCCTCAAGCCAAAAGTGTAGCTCCTCTGCTGTGGCTGGGGGGATGACCACGTTGCTTTTCCATGACGGTGCGTCGTTGATTACTTGTAACATGGCGTGGCTGAATGCGCGAGCGGTCGCGCCAAGTGCGACCCCCATTGATGCGAGCATGCCTGTGATTCTGGCCACGTGGCGGACCGGGACTGGTCGGCATGCCTTGCTTGCGCTCAGGAGGTTTTGGATGGTTGCATGTAGTGAGGCTCGTCGGTCGGGACCGATGGAGAATCGACCGGTATCGGTTTCCAGCTCTACACCCAAAAATCGTAGGCGTTGCGATGGTGACAGCTGTGATTTCTTCGCGTTTATCACGAGTCCTGCCTCTTTAAGGTCCAATATCACACGCTGGCAGATCGCTTGCGCATGGTCTTTCGACTGACAGAGGAATAAGATGTCGTCCACGTAAGGGATGACTCGGATGCCTTGTTCTCGCCAGCGCCGAGCCAGTTGCTTGATGAGCTGCGTGAAGACGAATGGAGCTGTCGCGAGGCCAAATGGCAGTGAACGAAATGCGTACGTGCGCCTCCCAAATTCGAAGCCGAGGAACTTCCAGCATGATGGGTGGATGTCGATGTGGTGGTAACCGGATTTAAGGTCAATGGAGAACATCCAATCCCCAACGCGTGCCAGGTCCGCCACGCGGTTGAGCCCCTCGTACTTGAACTTGGGGACGATTAAGCTTGCGTTGACTTTCCGCAGATCAAGAATGAGTCTGCATTTGTCTTTTTGCTCGACCACATTGAGTGGACTTATACACGTCAGCTCCGTTGCGGGCATCTGGACTGCTGCTCCGGTCTCTAGGAGTTCTTGGATAGCGGTACGCGTGAACGTAGCATGCGTGTTTGCCCCGACATGGTTGCGATCGTGGAAGGGTTGTGGTGGGCCGTGGCTCCATGGTAGCCAATAACCCCTGGCGATGACGGAAAGGACGAGGCTGCAGGGACACCAGGAGCTCCACCACGCAAAGGTCGCACGAAGTCGACCGCGCATTTGTGTAATGGTTTTGTCCGTGACGGCAAATTCATACGGATCGTCGTAACATACCGCCTCGCACTGTCGTGCTCCTGTAATTGAGGCAAATGGGGTAGGGTTGGGAGTTCCATTTGACGCATGCATGTGCGTGTGCATGTACGCGCAATCGTTGATCAATGGTGTGAATGAGATTGCCTATCTATCGAAAGGACAACAAATATGTCGTGCACGCGCCGACGCTTCTTCTTCTTCTTCTTCTTCTTGGTTTTTTTTTTTTTTTTTTTTTTTTTTGCTCCATGGGCACCCTGATCATGGTAGGCAAGTAGGTGTCACTCTCTGGACCCCCTCCTCTTTTTTTTTTTTTTTTTTTTTTTTTTTTTTTGTCTCATCTAGCACCGTGGCTAGCCCTTTTTCCGATACATCACATCGCGCTTTTTTTTTTTTTTTTTTTTTGCTCGCCTTGTCATCCACTTGGTAAGACGTGGTTGTGCATGCCTTTAGTGCATGTGGGCTGGTGCTTTGAACCATGGACATGCGTGTCCACCGTGCTTTGTCTTGTTCTCTCTCTCTCTCTCTCTCTCTCTCTCTCTCTCTCTCTCTCTCTCTCTCTCTTTCTTCCTCTCTCTCTCTCATGCTCTGCACCTCCTCTGTGTGTCTAGAGGCTCTTTGCAAAATAGTAAATCAAGGAACTTTTTATTAAATCAACCAACACACATTGCAATGCTTCCTAGCATTCATCACCCCACTGGGTGGCCAAATACATGGGACCGAGGGGTTGTTGTTCCCCTTCCCTATCCTAGGCCCAAAGCCTATTACTACCCTTCACTAGGGCTGGCCTCTTGCCATCGCAAACCCCTAGGGCTGCCCACGGTTTCCGCACTCAAGAGTGCACCGTGCCTAGCGCCCAAGGCGCCTAATCCCTTGGCCCGCTCCTACACCACCGGAGCGGGTCCTTGGCCGCCATGCCCGTTCCTAGGGCAGGCACTTGCCACATGTCCCGGCTGGCCGCAGCGGAAGCACGAGCCCCGAAACCCACGACAATTGGCCGTGGGCGGGGGGGCCCGCTTGGGTAAGAACGGCATCGGCCCGTTGTTTCCGCCGCGGGTGACACGAGCGTATGCACTTGCCGCGCGGTCCATTGCAGCCATATCCGCGACCGCCTGCTTGAAGGGTCGAGAGGTCAGCAGGCTCTTCTGCTGGTACAGTTTGAAGCGTTTCGCCGTGCGGAAGTCGGAAGCGTCCTCCACTTGAAGCACCTCGAAACGCCCCGAGATGAGGTTGAGCGCGTGTGAGATGAGTTCGAGTCCGCCCGCCGAGTCGCCTCGCTGCGCCTTGTATTCCGCGTGCAGCAGGTACGCACGCAAGTCCTCCAGCAGCTCCGCTTGCTCTCGCACGGAGTCGTTGACGAAAGTCGCCGCCGAAAAGGTGAGGTTAGAAGAAGGAAGGGGGGCGAGGTTTTCCGTGCCAATAAAATTAGCAGTGTTGACTGGAGCCTCACCAGCTTCATCTTCATAGTCGGTGTCGTTGTCGACCGCCGGAGCAGGGGGAGCGGCTGTCGCTGCGTCGTTGTCATGCCGGTTCGTACGTGCTCCTCGCGTGCCTTTTTCCTTTTTCGCGTTTTCTTTTTTAGCCGACGCAGATGCAGCGGGTAGTGCAGTTTCCGCAGCTGTAACGCTGACGGGCTGCTGCTGTAGAAGGGATAGCAGCGCGTTGACCTGGTCCGGGGTCAACGCCTGCGTCAGTGCAGGGGCGGTCGTCGCGTCAGACGAGGAGACCGCAGTCCGCCTCCTCTGGCGCTGACGCGACGGTCCAGCCGCGGGTGCTGGCGTGTGCTCGGCGTCAGGTGCGTGTGCCGCGCCAGCTGCCGTCGCCACTTGCGCCGCAGGTGCCACAGGCGCCACTGGCGCCACTGGCGCCACAGGGGCCGAAGGGTGCTGCTGGGCGTCGGCACTTTTGTTGACCTCGAGCCCGCCCAGCAGCACGTCCACTGCAGTCGGGGCGGGCGGTCCATCTTCTGCCCGGCGCTTGTTACGGCGGTCGCCCGCAAAATCGCGGGTGTTACGGTCGGAGTCGGAAGCGGGGTTGGACGAGTTCCCGTTGTTAAGTGTCGTCGTCGGTGCCATCGTTGATCGATTGAAGTTAAAAATGTCGCTAAGTAAAGTCGAGGGTGACTCGCCTCTAGGAAGCGATTTTGTTCTAGCCAGCTTGGAAGGAGAGAAAGACTACGTGAGCGGAAATGTTGAGTGAGCCGTTTGAAATAGAGAAACGTGGGTGGAGGGAAATGAGCTCCAACCTACGGTTTTTGTAGTTGGAGAAGGGCGTTTAGCGCGCTTCGACGATGCCAATTGTGCAGTACAAGCAGCTTCGCTTTCACAATACACAATTTTAAAAAACACAATGTGTGTTTAAAATTTATAATTTTAGGGAACTCCGAACTATCAGCCTTTTTTTTTGCAACTCTGTCAGATTCAGACTACAACTTTGGGAGAGTCTGACGAATCAGACAGGCTAAAAACGAATCTGAGGGCCTGCAACCAAGCTACAGCGAAGCGGTTGACAAGGCGACAACAGCAGGAGGTTGAGGCGAAGGTCAAAGGTCAGCAACCTTGGACTCGACAAGGGCAGCACGACAGCAAGGACAAATAACTGACTCGCTACTGAGCAGTTACCCGAGTCGTCGCTGTATCGAACCGCATTAGCAGTTACAGTAGCAGTTAGTTAAACCTTTCATATTCTCTGTAGTCATATAAAAGCCTTGTATCTCTATGCTATAATCAAATTATCTTGTTCTCACACACCAGTGCAAGGTGGTTCAATCAGCCCTCATTAAAGAAGCTTCCGCTAATACGGTACATCACTCTGAGCTTTAGTCCTTGAAATCAATCCTAAGGGCTTTTCTCAGCCCAACACCGTTCAAACTCCATCTGGATGTGTAGCAAGGGTGAGTGAGGAGTCACCACAACCTTGGGCAGTGGCCGAGCATAGCAGTTGTAAGTCATGTGTGTGCAAGAGTGTACTGGATTAACAGCTGGATTGCTATTCTAGGATCACACACACATATGGTACAGAGGTACAGCATCGCCCAGCACGGCCCAGAGCGCTGGCGGCACACAAGGATGAGATGGTGCACATTGCACAGCGCATCACCCAGGCAGGGTGCTAGTGAGCGATAGCCCCCATAGTCTTCACATGCACCCCCAGGCCTGTTGAAGCTGCATTGAGTATTTTCCATTGCCACACTGGGGATCAACATCTAATGAGCGAATGACATTTGTGTTGTCCTGAGAGAAGGGGGGGGCAGCAGTTGAGCAGTGGAGCATGCAGAGGGGCAGAGGGGAGCAGGCAGGAGACACCAGTGCATTGGGAGGCAATGCACCCGCAGCACCACAACAGAGAGGAGGGGACAACCCCTCTCTCTGCTGCAGGACTCAGCCCTCTCAATGCCCAGCTCCCTCCCTCTCCTGCACCGCATCCTCACCCCTCCTCCTTCCGCCTTCCCTCCCTCCCCCTGACCCTTCCACTCTCCATTTTTCCCCTCCCCGCTCCCCCTCTCTCCCCCTTTTCCCCCCTACTGCTGCAGGCGCGGGGGCGGGCGGAGCCACTGTTGGATGGGTCCGGCGACCTTCTCCTTCTTGGCCTGCACGCGCTGCAGCCTTGCCACGTACTGCTGCCGCTTGGCGCGCAGCCGCGCCAGCTTCTCCTCAATGCGCGCCAGCTTCTCGCGCACCTGCTCCTCCGCCTCCCCCCACTCCCCCTCCTCGTCCTCCCCCTCCTCCTCGTCCTCCCCCGCTTCCCCCTCCCCGCCCGCCCACCCGTTCAGCTGCCCCTCGTCGTGACTCATGCTGCGCTGGCACTGCCTCCCCCCGTGCGCGCCGTGCCCCCCGTGCCCCCGCGCCTTCTCCCGCGATCTGCTGCGGTGGGCGGAGCGGGACTCTCTTGGGGGAACCGGCGCGCCCGCCAGGGGCATGTTGAGTGGAGAGAGGGGTGCGGGAGGGGTGGGAATGGGTGGGATGGACCTCGACTGCTGTTAGGGTTGGGGGAGAGGGGGCGCAGGGGCGCGGAAGAGGGGGAAGGCGATCGCGGGAAAGGTATAAGGTGGTGACGTCGGTGAGCGGAACGGCACTTACGAGGAAAACGCGTGCGCGCACAAGCAGACTGCCTTTCCGCCTTTCTTACCGAAGTTCCTTCACCCGCTGCCTCATTGCTCCGCCGTCCGCTTCCGCCATGCGCGCCACTTCCGCAGCCCGCCGCCTCGCCGCCGTGCGCCTGTGGCCACCCGCTAGGCGGCCATTCCCCTGGAGCGGCGCACCCCGCCGCCTCTCCCCCTGCCCGCCTCGACGGCGACGCTTCGTTGCCCGAGCTCGCGGACAAGTCCGCGGGATGCTGCGCCAGCGAGTGCGCGAGCGCTGCTTGCGCCAGCATCGGCATGTCCATGTCCATCAGATGCATCTCCGGCATATGCGGCGCGGGACTCAGCGGGGTCGGCGCCGATGCTGTCGGCCCTAAAACCGGGCTGACCGCGCCGCTGTCGAGGTGGAAGGGGCTGGCTGGCACGCTGGCCTGCTGCTGTGGCGGTAAGCCGAGGCGCGTCTTCTCGCGACTCCCGTGCGACAGCGACCGCGCGAGCTGCGGCCGCGGCAGCGCCGCTAGCTGCGACTCGTCCATCCGCTCGCTCCGGCTGCATTGCTGACCGTTGGATTCCATCGAGTCGCTCTCGACGGCAAGCGTCGATTGCGTTTTCTGCTTCCCGCGGCCCTGCAGGCTCCGCAGCGCCTTACTTAGGATGTTTCCTTTGAGCTTCCACGACGGGCTGCGACTGCCGCCGGGCGACCCGGCGGAATTGACGCGCGCGGCGGCTCGCTCGTCGACGGGCGCGGGGCGCGGGCAGGCGGTGTGGGCGGAAGCCATGGCGGAGGGGGCGGAAGGGGCGGAAGAAACAGCGCGCAGCTGGACGGGTTCGCAGGGGGGAATGTGTCGGGATGTCGGTTCCGCGGAGCCGTCGCTCCCCATGCAGGGGATGGTGGATTCTAGTGTGCGCTCTTGCCGCGGAGTAGACACGGATTGGTGTACACGGCCTTACAATGCGTCCACGAACCTGAAGATTTTTCGTATTTATTATTGCAAGAGTAGTAGTATTAATGGTTGAATGCGATGCATACTAATGGAGATGGTCTCGAGGAATATCGACAGAACCAGCTGTGAGAACGCTACGAACATGGGAGAGAAATGCGATGCACCATGTGCGCGGAAGTCGCATGTGCGATGTACGATGATGACTCAAGCTCGTCCCTCTTATAATAGGCTACAGGAGTTGCGGGAACAAGGTGAGGAACAACCTTCACTATGTGAAACTGGGAGGAGAAAGACAAGAACAGCCAGAGGTGATAATGGATTGGGCCTTACAGTGGGGAATGGGTCTGTGGGATGGCATGGGATTGCGCTTGCGCACTAGCAGGAGCGGAAAAGCTGAAGCTGCTGCTCATTGAACTGCACGGCGAAATGACACACATCGGCGGAAATCTTGTTTCTCTCAATTGAAACGACCTAAATTACCCCGACCTAAATTGGATGGACCGCGTTTGCGCGCCCCCTTTCCGCGCGATTTTCCCGCCCTTCCCAACCGAAATTCGGGCACCCCCTGGAATACCTTGGAATCACAAACAGTCACGAATATATGTTTTTTCGTAACGCTAAGATTTCAACATGAGAGCGACAACTGATTGGACAGAACACTGGTAATTTAATTCGCGCGCCAAAGTGACATACAAGCAGTGCGTTTTGATTCTTCAATGTGGAATAACGTGCACGTTTGGTTGTGACAGGAGCTGTTGGGGAATGCACAGTTAAATTTAACGTAGTAACTTTACTTAATTTATTTTTTCATATAAAATATAACCAGTAGTTAAAATATGATAAATTCTATAATTACTAGTATCTTGAGCATAAAAACTAAAATCAATTTGATTCTTACTATGATATTTAGCAGTAATATCGTTTTTATTAAATTTATGCCACTATATTAGTTAATTCTAATTTTCTTAGGAGTGACTATTATTCTAAGTTAAATCTAGAGTTTTTTATGTGTTTCATGGAAAAAACTAGGGAACATATGTCACAAGTAACCAACATGGGACTCGATAACGTGAATGGTAAAAAATTAATGCGTACGGTCACTGTATCGGGTTTGCTGACGGGTTTGGTAAGTGGTGTCACAGATTCAGTCACTAACAACAGGTGAAAAATCACGCGAATTGTCACACATGTAACTCCCACCAAAATTTCTTGAAACTCTATAAAATTTCCGCTCGCGCCTAACCAATCAGCTAATTTATAAAAATACTAAAACCCGATCGGAATCGGATGCGGTTTGGGAACGGATCAACCCTAAACACCTGGCGAGTTGTGTTTAGGGTTGATTCATCCGAAAATGCATCCAAGTTCATTTTGGGTATTATATTTTTTTGGGCGGGAGTTTCATCTGTGACCATTTGCGTTTTTTTTTTCCCAGTTGATTGTGACTGATTCTGTGAAACGTTTTATCAAACACGTGAAAACACCTTTTGCAGTGACCGTACCCGTTGTTTTTTTACCAAACATATTATCGAGACCCTTGTTGATTACGAGTGGCATATTTTCCCAAAACTTAATACAAAGATGATATAAATCATAAAAATACTACATTTTATTTGTAATGTGTTTTCCTGCAGGTATGGGCTAATCCTAAAAATATGATACAATCAACGTGTATACGAGCCTTTTGAGATTGAGATGCAGCCGCCGAAATTATCAAGAGTCTATTGCAAAAGCTGATGTGGCTTTGGCACAACCGCCTGGAGGATTTGGCATGATCTGGAAAGCATGTATTCGTTACTGTTTGTGATTCCACGAAATTCCAGGTTGAAATCGCGACTTAGAGATAGATCAGAACTTCAGCACAGCTGCCCGAATTCGTAGGGGAGAGTCGGGAAAATTGGGTTGAGGGGGCGGGCGCAAACGCGGTCCATCCAATTAAGGGAAACGCCCACGTGGCGAGGTCGGAGTAATTTAGGTCAATGCAGTTTAGAGAAACAAGATTTCCGCCGATGCGCGTCATTTCGCCGAGCTGCACCCAGCAGATACGGTACGGAGGGTGCAGATGAGTCCCTTCCTGGAATCGTGCGGTTGGGATTATGAAGCGCGCGGAAAGATTGAATGGGACACACAGGGGGAAGGGGATTTGCTGTCTGTTGTTGCGCCGAGCCCTGGGTGGGCCTCTCTCACTCCACTGCGCAAGGCTCCCCTCCCCCGCTCCTCCATTCGATTCAGCTCCATGACAGAACCTGTCTTGGGCGGTTGGTGATTCGTGTGAGCTCTTGAACCTCGTTGAACACCTTGAAATGTATTTGTAACCGAGGTGGAGCCTTTCTGGGCTTGACGAGTCAACGCACCCTAACCTTCTTGGCTTGTGCGCATGGCTCTCCCTCCCCGTCACTCCGGAAATCCCCCAACCCAACTACCCTTTCCGCGCATGCTGCTTGTCCCCACACCACAGCAAGCCAACAGGCACCCCAGCGCGGCTGGTGCCTGCCAGCCACGAATCACAGCACAACCGTACGGTTGTCTCCCCCATGGGCCATCGGCACGGCATGGCGAATGCCACTCATGCCAAAAATATGAGGCAGTTTGGCCGTTTTTGGCTTGCTTGCCTGTCAGTTGCCCTGGGAAGCCCTGGGTTCCAATTTCCAAACGACCCTTTTCTATTTCAGCCCGCGGAACACATACCAGCTTTTTATTTGCAGATAAGCATTGTATACGGAGGAATACGAGGCACAATTACGAGTTTCAGAGTCGTAATTTCGGTCAGCCACGACAGTTGACTGACCAACGAGTTTTTGTTGTCGGTTGAGACCATGGACAAACAGAACTTCAAGCCAACAACCTCGGTCCCCCTGAAACAGAAAAGACTTTCCATACCTATCGAGGTTGCTATGCGAAGAGATTGCACGCTGTTCAGTGAAAAGTAAGGTGTAGAGGCTATTGAAATACATGCATTCTAAACAGAATGAAAGTAGGAAGCTGGCATTGCCAGCAACCCCGTTCCCCCCCTCTTAGCCTCAACCAGGTCCATCACCAGGATCATATTGAACTTGTGACGTACAGAATGCATTTGAATAACATTATATTACATACAGTACAAGAATGAAACAAACGAAACAATAGACATGTATATCAATGATGATTGTGAAGACTCTCCACCAGTAGCCACAAGCCCGAACAGGCTCTCTAAACTTGATACATATCAGTAGGCCACTTATTGACGCCCCTTGTCGCCTGCCCAACAAAGAACGCACCATGGCGTGTGCAATCATCACCAGCAGCACTCTGACCTCCATTCATGCCACTCCGACACTCTCTTCTGCTGCTCCAGTTCCATCCGGCGCACCCGTTTTCACATCACCTCCTGCAGTTGCACAGCATCCGTGTCACCGCCCCCCTCACCCCTGCCATCACCACCTCCACTCCTGTCCGCACTGCAGCTCAGTGCCGCCCGACAATGGCACACAGGGCCGGAGCAGGAGCACGAGCAGGTGTGCAGGTGTGTCAGGCTCAAAGCAGGAGGGCCGCTGCCCAGAGGGTTGCATGGAGGCTTGGAGGGCGATGCAGTAGCAGAGGAGCGTGCCTTGAAGAGGGGCGACTGCAGCACCGACGACATCAGCGATCCAGGCCAGAAATCCAATGACCTGGCCTTTGCAGGGGATTTGAACGCATCTTCATCTCTCCTTGCTGCCTCTGCCACACCTGCTGCTGCTGCTGCTGCTGCTGCTGCTGCTGCTGCTGCTTCTCTTGTGACCATATCAGCAATTGTGTGGCTGGAATCGTCCATGGATCTTCTCCTGCCTCTCTCGCCATCACCACTGCCACACGCCTGCATGGTGGATATCCGGCCCTCGTCCAGAGATGCCCGTCTATTGGCTGACTGAACCTGCTGTGGCCGCATGAGCAGCTGTGCATCATCTCCTGTGACGCCCAGCTTTGCCTCCTGCACCACTCCTGGCTTGCCATACACGCCGGGCGATGGCGCGGAGGGGGTCGTGGCGACATCGGAAGGCGAGGATGGGAGGGTTGCAGGAACGAGAGGAGTGGAGAGGGGCGGGGCGACGGAAGGGTGGAGTGTGGGAGTGCCGTCGTGGCACACCATGTCGGAGACGCGTGCCAGCAGCGCACGGTAGAACTGGTGGGGTGGAAGAGAGGAAGCAGGGAGTGCGAGTGACAAAATTAGAAACTGGTGAGGAGAGAGTGCCAGCAGGGAGAGAAATCATGTGAGAACAGGGAGGCGGGCGGGTGGGAGGGGGTGAAAAATAGGCTTCGGGGTTAGGTGGGTGGGCTCACCTTGTGGTACTCGAGGGTATCACCCGCATCCTTGCGTGCTTCCACCATGAACACCCCCGGCGTCATCTCAAATATCTGCAGCGCCACGAGCGCACAAGCACAATCGTGCATGACCCAAGGATAAGATGTGACAAGGGATGGTGCGATAGCAGCACTGGCCGAGTCAGCAGGATGGGAGCCTGAGCCTGAGGCAGAAATGACTTTGCAGCGGAGCAACTGTGAGGTTGTAAGTTTGAGCACTGCTTGCAGCAAAAACTGCGCGAGAAGACCAAACATGACGGGGACATCAGCGCTGGCTGGGGCTCCATGAGGAATGAATTGCCTGAACGTGTACGCAGGGCGGGCATTACCTGGATCACCACGGTCAGCTCTCGTCCTCTGTTCCTTGCAGGGCGGCAGAATCGGATTTTGAAGAGCTTGGCGTGCGCATCAGCGTGCAGGGCGGGCGCAAGCGCGAGGAGACGCGAGCGTATGAGGGCGGGTGGCAGGCGCGAGGCAAAGCGGGTTTGGCGCAGAACAGGATCGGCACGGCGGTGAAAGAGCGCTCCTAGGTTCAGCGCGTGCGCACGTGCTATCAGGTCAAACGCGTTCATCAGCTCCGGACTCTCCTCCGCCGCCGCTGCTCCCGCTCCACCCTCCTTCACTCCTCCACCTTCTGCCCTGCCGCCTTCGCCCCCCTCGCTCCCATGCCCCTCACTCCTGCCCCCTCTCCCTCCTTGATCCCCCAGTCCCTGCTCGCTCCCCCATGCGCTAAGTCTGCAGGAGGAGCAGGAGGGGGAGGGCAGGGTGGGAAGAGGGTAGTCAGCTGCAGCAGCAGCAGCAGCAGCAGCAGAGGGAGCAGCAGAGGGAGCAGCAGAGCAAGGGCTGATTAACGGCGTGCCGTCATTACCGCTGCCGCTGCCATTGTCGCTGTCGGCGCTGCTGCTGTTGCAGCTGAGGACACGCGTCGAGCGCAGGGAGGCGCAGGGACCAGCGGAGAGGGCGGACGAGGAGGGGGCAGTACTCGCGTCCGAGGAGGGCGAGGGGAGGGGCGGCGAGGCGGAGCGGGGGAGCGACTCAACGGCCGTGATCCGAAGCTCCGCTCCGAACTGAGAGAGTGGCAGCGACGACGGTGCGGTTGAGTGCGGTGGCGCTGAGAGTTGTTGTGTGGGAGCGGAGAGGCCGAGCAGGTGGTGGTGGGAGAAGGCGGAGTCAATGTCACATGTGTGCACTGGGGCCTCCGGGCTGGGCTGGGCTGGGATGTACCCCGGCTTGAACCACGCGTGCTGCCTTATGCCCTCCATCGTCAGCCGCTGGTCGGGGGAAGGGGGGCAGGATGAAGGAGAGGAGAGTGTGAGAGAGGGAGTGGACGAGCAAGAGAATCTGAGTGTGTGTCTGAGAGCAAGGGAAGAGTCACAAGTGATGATCATCAGCGCACCTTGGCAGGGTCGGGCTGTAGGATGGCGGAGATGAGGGAGCGCGCGGAGGGCGAGACCCACGCGGGGAAGGAGAAGAGTGCATGACGGATCTTGCGGTAGAGCGGGCGCAAGTCGCTGTCCTGGAAGGGCGCGTAGCCCGCGAGCAGCACGAAGAGGATGACACCGCACGACCACACGTCCGCCAGGCTCCCGTCGTACCCTTTTTCGCACAGCACCTGGTGGGAAGGCGTGGGAAGAGCGGATGAGCAGGGGAGGAGCGGAGAAGCAGGAGAGGAGCGGATGAGCAGGAGAGGAGCGGATGAACAGCGTGGCAGAGCAGCTTAAGAGCAGGTGACGGTTATGGCGAGCACAGGAAGTGGCGAAACGCCAGACAGTGGAGCAGTGAGGTAGTGACGCAGTGAGGCAGGGGAGCAGTGGAGCGGTGGGGCAGAGGGGCAGAGGGGCGCACCTCAGGAGCGACGTAGTTGGGAGTGCCGCAGGTAGTGTGAAGCAGCCCGTCGCGGTGCTGCTGCTGCGGCAGGGCGCTCAGCCCAAAGTCCGACACCTTGAGATTGCCGCGCTGGTCTAGCAGCAAATTCTCCGGCTGACAGGGAGGGGGGAAGGGGCGGAAGAGAGAGCATGGGAGAGGTGGTGAGATAGTGAACCCAAGAAGTAGGAAATGAGAACGGACCAAGAAAGTAAGACGCGATAAAATGCCCTCTTGAAAGGCCCAAGACTAAGCGCACTTTGAGGTGGCGGGAGCAGAGCAGAGGGGCTCACTTTAAGGTCGCGGTGGCAGACGCCCTTGGCGTGGCAGCAGTCGAAGGCGTCCACCAGCTGCTGGAAGTACCGCCGCGCCTCGCTCTCCGCCAACCGCCCGCGGTGCACCTGCGGGAGAACATGGTGACGAAGGTGATGAGGATTGGCAGCGGGAGGCGAGGCATGAGATGAGACGACGAGGGAGGCGAGAGTGGAGAAGGAGAAGCGAGGGACGAGGCACGAGAGTGGACGTGGGTGTGAAGAGGAGGAGGAGGAGCGGAGAGGAGGAGGAGGAGCGGAGAGGAGGAGAGGAGAGGAGGGGGGAGAGGAGGGAGGAGAGGAGAGGAGGGGAAAGATGAGAGGAGGAGGGAGGAGGAGGAGGAGGAGGAGGAGGAGGAGGAGGAGGAGGAGGAGGAGGAGGAGGAGGAGGAGGAGGAGGAGGAAGAGGAGGAGGAGGAGGAGGAGGAGGAGGAGGAGGAGGAGGAGGAGGAGGAGGAGGAGGAGGAGGAGGAGGAGGAGGAGGAGGAGGAAGAGGAAGAAGAAGAGCAAGAAGAGAGAAAAGACAGAGGACAGTTCAACGAGGAAAGAGTGTCGCCTGTCAGCACAAGCAGGAGGGCGCGCGCGACTCACGATGCGGTCGAAGAGCTGCCCGCCGGCGGCGAGTTCGAGCACCATGTAGATCTTGCTCTGTGACGCCATCACCTGCCGTGCGGGATGCGACACATGCGGCGACGACGGGACTACGATGAGCGACGAACACGAGAAAATGAGGGTCGCAATGGACGGGTAGGGCGAAGATGGGGGGAACTGCTGAGACGGAAAATGGGGATGCGGGTTTCGCATCTGATAAGAATGAGGTAGCGGAGGGGAATTGGGGGGAACGCCGCGGGGAGGCGCACCTCGATGAGGCGCACGACGTGCGGGTGGCGCACCATCTTCATCACCGCGATCTCGCGCTTTATCTGCGCCAACCCAGCATGGAAAGGATGTCATTAGCCGGATGGCGGGGTAAATAAATTGTACTCGCGGGGACATCATTATTACGTTCCACGACCCGAGAGCAGCATTCACAGAAAGAGCTCTCCTGACGAGAATTCTAAGAGCGCTTGCAGTCGATGGCGGGGGATGCTAGCAGTCGGCGAAACGCGAGTACAGAGGGGCCTTCCAGTGGACGAGAGTGTACCTGGTCGGCCATGTTCCGCTGGAGAATCTTCTCCTTCTCCATCACTTTGATCGCCACTTGCTGCATCGTCCTCACGTCTCTAGCGAGTTTCACCTTAGCGAAGCTGCCCTGGCCCAGAGTGCATCCCAGCTCGTAACGACCAACCAAGCGGGGCTTCGACTTTGAGTGGCTGTTACCAAAGTGCCCGCTACCAGAGTGGCTACTACGAGTAGTGCTACTCGAATGGCTGCGCTGGCTCCCCATGGCGTCCGGATTCGCCGCCTAAACTCGCATAGAAATCGTCTATTCAAACGTTCTTTCCGAGGGAGTGCGCGGGAGTAAACACTGGTGAATGAGAATGTGATGAATGACTTCTCAATCATCCGTGCTTTGGCATCAGCAAACCTACATAGAGCACGTATGATGAGGTGCTACGTTAACGAGACGATTGAGACGAGCCTGCAACCGGACTCCGCTCCGATTTCATCTCATCCGCGGCTTCCTACTGCATCATTAAATTTCGGCTGATCGCATCTCAAGTCGCTACAGTTCCTGATGCCTGTGCGACGCCTCCTAGAAACCACAACCTGGGGCCGCCAGGCCTCTTGGAACAGCTTCGTTGACTTGGCATTGGCTGAAGCTATGGCGGCCGACAAGCGAGCCGTGCAAGACGTCATTGTTGCTCGAACCGGCTGGGGTTTCCAAACCAACAGTCAAGGGCTTGGAGTGGAATCTAGCTGCTGTGCTGGTGGATCAGTTTACCTTTGTCGCACATGGAAAAGGGGGAAGGGGGAAATTGGGGGGGGTAAAGAGGGCCGACTTCTTGTCGCTGTGGAATGTGCGGCACGGGCTTGCTACTCCGCAGCATGACAGGTAGGCTAAGATTTGGGATGCGACGCGCCACGTAAACAGACGATTGTCCCAGATCTTGGAAAGTACAGCATTTAGTGCTGCCCGGGCGAATAGCACACGAGGAAGTGCTTCGGGCACGATCGAAAATGGCATCTTGAGAAAAAGAGCATCTTTTGTGGGAATATTCCTCGAGTTCGCCAGCGAAGCAACATCGCAGCAGAGCACTTTTTACATCTGCCTTCTGCTTGGCAATGACGTCAGCTGGATGTCTCCACATTCTGGTTGGCATCAACAATGCACAAATGCGTGATGAGGAGAAGCGTTGTTAAAGCCCGAGTCCCAAATTGTGGGGCGCGTGGGTCAAGCTTTTAAAACTTGACTGTGAGCTTCTTACAAACTTGAAAGAAGTGCACCTGCAAACTGGGACTTTCGAGCTCCCACAAGGGGAAACTACCCAAACTGGCTTGGGTTGGCGAAACAAAACGAATTTGGCGAAATAAATCCTCTCGTCACAACCCCAAAACTGAACCTCCTCCCCGTCAACCTTTTAAAACCTGAACAACTTAGGCTGCGGGCTTTAAGGTGGGTACCCATTTTGCATTCGAACGGAAGGTAAACGAACGGTAATTGAACGATTTCATATCGCCTGTGTTTTCCTCACGAAGCGTGTTTCCAAAAAGTTCGATACGGTTCCGTTTCGTGTGCGATGTCGCATGGTTATTCACAAGCAGAGTGGCGAATCCCAACGACGTATTGTTCCTGCGGAGATAACTACTACAACGGGAGATGGACTACGGGGTAGGCACGGAGTAGGAGTGATTGCAGCGTTCGTTCCTTAGTCGTTCACTTGCGCATTCACAGGGAAAGTTGGCAAGGGTTTCACTAGTAAAAGTTTACAACAATAGATTGACAATGACAAAGCAACACTGTCTACATCGGGAGCTAGCATGCAAGCAGGTCGACTGCCAGCGCAGCACGGTCGACCGCGTTCTAGCACGACATGGTCGACCGCGCTCTAGCAGTGCAAAGTCGCGATCTGCCAACGCTGCAAGTCGACGGCGTGCCAACGCTGCAAGTCGATGGTGTGCCAACGCTGTAGCAAGGCGGCTGTACAGCATTGCACCCGAAGGACAGCAGCACACCCGCTGTCAGAATGTTATGTTTGTCTAGCCTGCAGTGGGGTACTCAATAGTGAGTACAGCCCAATTTAGGGTTTGCTATATGTACTCAATTGCTTGCTAGTGAAATCTCTCTTCTCTCTTTCATTCATTCGCTCGCATTATAACATGGAATCAGAGCAGGTCGACCCTCCTGGGTCGATCCTGTGCATGGGCCCACCAAAACTTCCGCTGTCCTCACTGCCTATCGCGCGCCTCGGGCGCGCGCTATCTTTCGGGCGCGCGGCCTTTTTTCTTCCCGCCGCGCGGCGGTTTTCTGCCCGTCGCGCCGCCCTGGGGGCAGCGCGACGCCCTGATCTGCCCGTCGTGCGCCCCGTGGCGCGCGATGGTGCCCTGCCCGTCGCGCGCCCCGGGGCGCACGGCGGTTTCGTCGCCCCGGGGGGCTCGTGCGTGGCCCCCTCGTCGCCCGTCGTGGCGCCCTCGGGGGCCCGCGCGGCCCCCCTTTCCGTCGCCCGGCGTGGCGCCCTTGGGGGCCCGCGCGCGACCCCCTCCCGTCGCCCGTCGAGGCGCCTTCGGGGGCCCGCGCGCGGCCCCCTCCTGACGCCCGCAGTGGCGCCCTCAGGGGCCCGAGCGCGGCTCCCTCCTGACGCCCGCCGTGGCGCCCTCGGGGGCCCGCGCGGCCCCCATCCCTGTCGCCCGTCGTGGCGCCATTGGGGGCCAACGCGCGCCCCCCCCCTCCTGACGCCTGTCGTGGCGCCCTCGGGGCCAGCGCGCGGCCCCCCCACCCGTGCCGTCGCCCGCTGTGGCGCCCTTGGGGTCCCGCGCTGCCCCTTCTGCAGCCCGCGCTGCCCCTTCTGCAGCCCGCGTGCCGCCTCCTGTCCCCTCCTCCTCCTCCTCCGTCTCCCACTGCTGCAGCTGCCGCTGAGGGGGGTGGGTGTGTGGGAGACTACGGGTTGATACTATGGGGGTGTGTCGTGGGAGTGAAACTAGGGGTGCAGCGGGGGGGTGTGTGAAAGGGGGGGTGAGACAGTTAGAGGGAGGTTGGGTGGAGGTAGCCGTCGTGTCGTCAGCAGCGCCAGTAGTCCGGAGGTGCGCCTCCGGTAGCCCAGCGAGCCTGCTGCACCAGTCGCCCGTGGGTCCTGCCGCTCGTCTTAGCCGCGGAGCCAGTTACTCCTGTAGTCCGGAGGTGCGCTTCCGGTAGCCACAGTGCGTACCGCTCCTGTTGCCCATGTGTCTGCAGCTTCAGCCGTTGCCTCCTCTCTCCTTTCCTATCAGTCCAGCTCCTCCTCCCCACTTGCCCTCTGTGATAGCCTCTAGCTTTACTTATTGCTGTGAACTATAAACTGTTGCTTCTTGTACCTTTGCTCATAATGTGTGGTGACATTGTGATCCACCCTGAGCTTGTTTTTGCTTGCTTGTTGTGCTGATTACACCCCACTTTGGCTATGGGGGTGTGTCAGAATGTTATGTTTGTCTAGCCTGCAGTGGGGTACTCAATAGTGAGTACAACCCAATTTAGGGTTTGCTATATGTACTCAACTACTCGCTAGTGAAATCTCTCTTCTCTCTTTCATTCATTCGCTCACATTCTAACACCCGCTTCGCATGTGCTCGCAGTTGATTGGCGTGCTGTGCCTCGTCACCTGCACAGCGCTGACGCCAAGTATACCACATGCCCACGTCTACACCTAATCCTCCAGGTCGACCTCGGGATACTACCACCGAGGCCGGCTTCGCCTAAACCACCTGGGCGACTATCGCGCACCTCCGCAGAACTTCGTCGCCCAGGTAACTTGGTCGACCCGGAAACCACTAGGTCGGCGTCGAATTATTTAGGGAAAGTCGACTAGAAGTTGTACGTGCTCGTCGATTGCCCAAGTCGACGACCACCAGCCGACTTTACCAAGTCGGCTACTCCCCAGGTCGGCGCCCCCCAAGTCGGCGCCACTCCTCTTCGTGCCCGTCGATCGCCCAGGTCGACGACCACCACCTGTCGACTTCCCCAAGTCGACCACACCCCTGGTCGACCAGCTCCAGGTCGACCAGACCAGCCGTCAGCCGACTACATCAAGTCGGCTGCCTCAGGTCGGCGTCCTTCCCAGGTCGACGTCTCCCCTCGTTGACCACCAGGTTGAAGCCGGCTGCCGGCTGCCAGCTCCCCTCATCGGCAGCTTAGCAGTGGCCCTCGTGCAGGTCGGCCTAGCCCATCGACCAGCTCGCCCAAGTCGGCGTCGCCCACTGCTGTAAGTCGGCTGCACCTCCCGCACACCCGACCACAAAGTCGGCTCCGCTCAAGTGAGGACGGGGCCCACCACAACTCCCGTTGATGGTTCCGGCTATAGGACCCACCGGTAAGGAGGTCCCCCGGGACTCTCTAACGGCACAGTAACTCTTATCATTGAACAACCTGAATGTTTTTGCACATTTGCGCGACTAATGTTCAAATACACCTATCAAAGCAATTTCGGCTTGATTCATGCGCATGATTATAGTTGTTTTTACTGACAAATGCTAGAATGCGCATAAATCCCCGTAGGCGTAGGAGAAAGCATTGAACAACCTGGATGTTTTTTTCATATTCGGGTGGCTCATATTAAAATACATCTATCAAAGCAATTTCGTCTTGGTTCTTTTGTCAGTATCAACTGTGCAGGAATGATTGGATTAGCAAGAGTTGGGGTACAAGTAATAACCTAGGAAGTTCTGTACCCCATAAGGAGTGCCCCACTATCGCCTGCAAGTAAGAATGTGCTTTGACACACCCCCATATGCTAAGTGGGGGACAACAAATTGGTCACAAGACCAGTCAAGCAAGACAACAGAGCAAAGCAAAGCAAAGCTCAGGGTGGATCTCAAGGACACCACACAATCCGAGCACAAGCAAGCAGCCACAAGGCCAGTTCACATGCAGAGTTATAATAGCAAGGCATGACACTGATCACAACCTAGCAAGAGGAAATTGCAGGTATAAATATAGATATCAGTGTACAACAAGTGCAAGATCAAGAGACAAGCAGGTGAGGTACAACGGGCAGAAGCCCAAGAGCAGTGCAAAAACGCTGAAGATCACCAGACCCGAGGGCCTTGGTGAAGACATTAGCAGTGTTGGCCCAAGAGGCCACGTAAGAAAGACGAAGCTGACCACGCTGCTGCAGCTCTCGAGCAAGAAAGCAGTGAAAAGCAATGTGCTTCGTTCTGTGCTCCAGTCTCTGCTCCCGACACAAGGCAAGCATGGCCTTGTTGTCGACGTACAGAACTGGAGGAGAACGAGGCCGCTCCCCCAAGTCGGTCAGCAGGTAGGTCAGCCAGCGTAGCTCCTGTGCAGCCATGGCCCCAGCGTAGATCTCGGCCTCACACCTGGAACCAATCACAGAAGAAGAACGAGTGGACCTCCACGAGACAGAACCAGAGCTAAGACTGAAGGTGTAACCAAGTGACAAACGCTGAGTCGCGTGGTCGTCGGCCCAAGAAGCGTCAGAGTGTCGTGCGAGTACCACTGAACCCCGTCCTCCAAGCACGAGCCCCATGCCCGATGTACTGCACAAGTAACGCAGTACCCTCTTTGTAGCATCCCAGTGCACCTTTCGGTGTCTACCGGGAGCCACGTAGCGAGCCGGAAGGCTGAGAGGGTACGCGAGGTCAGGTCGTGTGCACGTCATCAGGTACATGAGGAAACCCACAAGCTCTGGGTACGGACCACTTGGCTCTACGGACTCGTCTGAAGGTGGAGTTGAGAGCGAGTGGCCTGTAGACAGAGGAGTGGGCTGTGGTGAGGAGAAGATGAAGCCAAAGCGCTGAAGGACCTGGTGCACCATGTGTGACTGAGTCAACGTGATGGTGCACCTTGCTCTGTCCCGAGTGATCTGCAAGCCAAGATAGCTCCGCAGTTCACCCAGGTCAGTGCAAGTGTGTCACTTCTGTAGCTTGGAATTCACACGGGCTAGTGCCTCAGTGTCAGTAGTAGCAAAGACCAAGTCGTCGACGTACACAAGGATGTAGAACGCCGGAAGAGTAGTGTCAGTGCGCAGAAACAGTGATGGGTCAACTCTCGAGGGAGCAAAACCAAGAGCCGCAAGTCTCGTCCTCAGTGTGTCATGCCACTTGTAGGCTGCCCGACAGAGGCCGTACACTGGTCGCCGTAGGCTCCACTGGGTACCCTCAGGAAACGACCTAGTGAAGCCCTCTGGATGACGCAGCCAAATGGCCTCGTAAAGGCTACCCTGCAAGAAAGCTGTCGAGAAGTCGAGGGAGTGCAGCTCGTAGTCGCACTGTGCTACAACGTGTAGCAACACCCGAAGAGTGGTCATCTTCGGGGTGGGGGAGAAGGTCTGAAAGAAGTCAACCCCCTCACGCTGACTGAAGTTTCGAGCAACGTAACGTGCCTTGAAGGCAGGCGGAGAGCCCAGCGGCCGCTTCACCCAGAAAATCCACATGCCACTGACGATGTTCGCCCTCAGAGGGGGAACCTCGTCGACGTAGGTGTCTGTAGACTTCCAGGAAGCCATCTCTGCGTCCATGGCTGTCTCCCACTGAGAGGAGTACTCACCCGAGATTTCCTCTCTGTAAGAGCGCAGGGTGGGGATGTCAAGTGCATCCGGGTCTCCCTCAGGGGCAAGCACCATGGTATTGAGATGAGGTACAGTGGCCGCAAGGCCCTCCAGCTCCTCCCTCCTGTCCTCAAGAATGTCACAGCCAAGGGCAAACTCACCCCCGACGGACGGAGGACAGGCAGGGTCAGGGTCAGAAACGAGGCTCGCAAGGTAGTCTAGGCGGTACGCAGCAGCAAAGTCAACTAGCTCAGCGACTAAGGCAGACGCAGCAGGAGACAAGAACGTAGGGTCCGTCACAACCGTAGCAAGAAAGCTAGTAACAGTCGGACTGGACGCACGAGCAAGTTCAGACGGAGGGTCAGCAACAGTAGGAAGAGAAGACTCAGGAGGTGACGGCAGGACAACACGCTGTGGAACAGAGGAAGGACGGAGTGTCATATCGTGAGTGCCTGGGACAGCCGGAGCACAAGAACGACGAACACGAGCACGGACAGAAGCTCTAGTCTCAGGCTCTCGACGCTCAGGATTGGAAACACGAGTCTCAGGCTCTCGACGCTCAGGAGTGGAAGCACGAGTCTCAGGCTCTCGATGCTCAGTCACGGACTCTGTCACAGCAATGTAAGGAGCAGGAGTATGCAGTGGGGAGTGAGGGAGTAGCTGTGGCTGAGACAGGTCTGCTGGTGGGAGCAGTAAAGGCGGAGTAGTACAAGCGACAGGGAACTCAATAGGAGCTGGCGGAAGACCGAGAAGGTGGCGAAGCGCACCAGCAGGTCCAGCACCTCTAGCACCAGCAGCAACTCCAGCACCTCCAGCACCAGCAGCACCTCTAGCACTAGCAGCTCCAGCACCTCTAGCAGTACCTCCAGTACCTCCAGCACCAGCAGCACCTCCAGTACTAGCAGCTCCAGTACCTCCAGCACCAGCAGTACCTCCAGCACTAGCAGCTCCAGCACCTCTAGCAGTACCTCCAAGACCTCCAGCACCAGCAGCACCTCCAGCACTAACAGCTCCAGCACCTCCAGCAGTACCTCCAGTACCTCCAGCAATAACTCCAGGACTAGCAGCTCCAGCACCAGCAGGACCAAACCCTCCACCACCAGGACTACCTCGCCGAACGATCCACGCATGAATCCGCTTCGGCGAGAGCATCTCGAGTAGATCAGGCTGCGGTGGCTGTCCAGCTCCAGGACCTCCAGCAGAGTCACCCACAGCTCCACCGCCACTAGGACTCGCAGCACCAGCAGGTCCAGCACCTTTAGCATCAGCAGCAACTCCAGCACCTCCAGCACTAGTAGCACCTCCAGCACAAGCAGCACCCCCAGAGTCAGCACCCCCAGTCGCAAAGCCCCCAGAACCCTCACCCTCTGTCTCAGCACCCCCAGAGCCCTCACCCCCAGTGTCACCACCAGAAGCAGCTCCAGCTTCCACAGCAGCAGACTGCTGAGGTGGCGAGGATGGCCGCGGCCGAAAACCAA